ACAAGTGATGGGAGTAAAGAAAAATATCAATTAGGGGATTATTAATTGATTCAATAAAAAATTCTCCAAACTCACATAACAAGAGTTATATGATAGAAAGTAAGGAGAATTACTGTGGAGATCTTGTAAGTGAAAGGATTAAATTCTTCATCCTGTACGGTTTTGATATTGGACAACACCGCTAGATGTTTTACAAGTCTTACCTTTAACCTTGTTAAATGATATGCAGTTGACCACCTCACCAGGTTCAAAGCCACTACCATCAACTGAAAGGACATAGTTGTCATTTTGCTCAAGATTCCACATTCTACATGAAAGAACCACACAATTAGTACAGTTTCCCACTTTCAGGAGAATGTTAAATCACTTGATTACAAATGTTAGATGCTAAAAATGTCTATTCTGTGTTCATTACTGAGACAAATGCACATGTAAACAGCACCCCTTCACTCTGAATATTGAAGGTTCAAACAAGTTAATACTGAGCAATATTTTACTGGTAATAATATATAATAATGCTAGCAATACTTTATTATATGATTTCACCTGACAACATTTTCTCCTGATGCTGTTGCCAACACCTGTCTTCCTGCCCAGATTATTTGGCTTTTACCAGATTGTCCACTTAGTTTTACCTAATAAAAGTAAAAAATGCATCTGATGAATATGATAAAAGATATATCTTAACTTTATTGAATAACAGGAGTATCACAAAACAGACCACCTACCAGTACGTACTAAGCAACTGTTTTGGTCGTCATAGTGAGACAAAAAATATTTTGGGAACTAAATTTGCAGCAAAGTTGCCAATTTGACAATCAATGTTTGGCACTTATGCTGCAAGTTGTAAAGTTTTAAACCCTTTACATCCTCACATCAGTATGCATATTCTCAATACTGTTTTTTATACATTTTCCATGGTGCTGACAAGGAGAATTTGTTTAATAATTAAGAGCTGCTTTTGTTGGTGATCATTTCTTTTATTCTTGTAACCTTAATGGTTGATCTAGGGGAGACATAGTGGGGAGAAATTAGATTCTAACCACTTTTAGGGTTTAAAAGTGTAACACATTAATGCTTAGGGTCTAAAGTTAAATTGCAGAAAATTTCCTTCTCCCCTTTTTTCCATATTCTCATTTTGTACCAAATCATTTGTTTCAAGGGACCATGTCAGGATTTTAGGTTTCCAGATGAGATAGCAACTTGGAAAAAATTGAGCTTGAAGTCCTGTTTTAGGGAAAGTATTGAGAAATATGCACTGATAGGATTTGGATAAGAAGGCTTATGTATATGCATTCCTTTGAATTCATGACTCTAACCTTAGCAACTTCTGATGTGGTACCATCATGAGCCACTCTGTGTTGTGAAAGAATCAAACCCTCAGTAACCACCACAATCATGTCTCTTCCCTCACTGTACAACAAGAACTTTACAGCACCCTCTGCTGTGAAGCACCGTGTGCAACGACCCTTGTCATCAACAAAATACACTGAACCTGCAATCAGAATGTACAACAAAATAAATACATGGCTGACAAACAAGCACTCCCTTGTCATAAGTGTTTGCTCATAAGAGTTTCCAGCTTAACAGGAGTATGTGTATGCCAATGAAGAGCTGTTGAGACACACATCAAAGCCTAAACACAGCATTAACAGTTCTATCCCATATTTTTCAACCATTTAACCCTTTAACTCCCATGACTGACCAAGACAGAATTTCTCGTTACAATATCAATACAATATCAACCACATGAGTGATGAGAATGAAGAAAAATATCAATTCGGGGATAATTAGTTGATCCAATGCTAAATTCTCGGAACTAACATCATGAGAATTGTATGTTTGTCTGTAAGGAGAATTACAAATTTAATCTGGGATTTACAGGGTTAAATAACTAGCTGCTATACATTTTCTTGTAAATTAGTTATGAGAACTTGGAGTTGGATCAAGATAACAGCTTCTTCTTGATGAATTTCAGTATGCTTGTTACCTGTTTGCTGAATAGTGTATGGATATTAAAGGGAGAAGTTACTTGTTAATCACTTCTGAAAGTTAAAGAGTTAAACATCTAACCACTTGCCATTTTTAACCCCAATGTATAGCAAAGTCAAAAGAGTACTCACCATCCACCACACCAAAAAAGAAGGAATAATCAGTTGAGGCTGTATTTGTTATGTTTTTGTTACCCTTCCTCCAACTTAACATGTCCAAAGCAGACTCGTCTCCCGCAACTGCTGCTTTTGCCAAACTAGATATGTCACTGTAAAAAATACTTTGCTTTCAGTGACTAAATACCATTAACAACAGCAATAAATTTTATCAAAAGAGAGACCTGTTGTTCAATCTAGTCAAAAGAAAAAGGCAAAAACTAGTATATTATGATAACTCTTCACCAAAACCATCTAAAGTAAGTTTAAAGCACTGATGAGAGAAAATATTACTAATAGCATATGTAATGGAGTTTAAAAGGAATTTGGGCCAAAACATTGTAAAATTTATTTCATAATTTGTATTTCCTTTAGTCCCATGTAAAGCATGGCAATTCTTCAAAGAAAATTACAAATCAAGCTAGAATTATCCCTTTAACTCCTATGAGTGACCAAGAATTTCTCCTTACAATATCAATACAATATCAACCAGATAAGTGATGAGAATAAAGAAAAATATCAGTTTGGGGATAATTAGTTGATCCAATACTAAATTCTCTGTACTAACATTATAAGAATTGTATGGTTGACAGTAAGGAGAAGTACAAATTTGATCTGGGAGTTAAAGGGTTAAATTATTTCAACCTGGACTCCTTTTTTCCTGGGAAATTCATCATTCATCAAAACAAGCCTGTGACTGAAAAAATTCTGCAGGCTACTTGATAACAAGTCCTTGAATACTCTGGTCAAAAAAAATCACCTTTTAGCCCTAAAAGAACTTTTCACAGTCACCTACTTTGCAAAGTCTGACACCTACTTCCTAACCCCTGAAACCCCTTAACATTATGGGTTTCAAAAGTTCAAAATCAAATTCTTTTTATACTCACTAGTCAGATGTTGGTGGTGGCTTGAAGACGCAAGCTGTAATAGGCGAGGAGGCATCATGTTGATATAATGGTGATTGCTGTAGTCTCCCCCTTTGATCTGCTTTCCACACTGCCAAAATCCCATTCTTCAATGAAATATTTAAAAATTACACATTTGAATCATTTCTTTTAATACACTGTGTTTCAGGTGTTCTAGTCTACAGAAATACCATACAGCTTGTGAAAAGAGATGTGAAATATCGTCTATCACATGCATGATCAAGAAAATTCTAGGCTAATACAAGACAATATATTAAATTCTCAATAAAAGATAACCTCATCAGTAGTAACAAGTCTGTTTCCATTATTACTCCACTGAATAACTCGAACTGCTGACTGATGAATGGATGAAGCCTCATGTAATTCACGATCATGTTCATTCCACATCAGCACATCCCCACTCTGCCAGCCAATTGCTAGTATCTTTCTAACAGGATGCCACACAATAGCTGTTACTACACTGGAACGTTGAATTGAGGATTCTTCAACTAGCTCTCCCTGTAGGCAATTATAGATATGAAAACAGAAGACAACATCACAGTCAAAACGACAAATTCACCTTAACCAAGTCAGATGAAGTCCATTTCAAGCACTCAGGTTTTGGGGACAAGTAAAAAAGAGGATGGGCAGGGTTGCCAATATGTTTAATAGTGAAGTGAGAAGAAACCTTTAAGCAAATTCTGAACCCAGAATTGATTTTTATATCTAAACCTTTAAGTGCTAGATTATACATTAACTTCTGCTAAAAAGTGGGAAATAGCTGTTGAACAAATATTCTCAGTGGAATTTCAACAAGATGGCAGATTAGCCAGAAGTATGACAGTTACCAACTCTTAGCGACAGCCCTGGTGAAGGCAGAAATAACAAGGTCCTAAATTCACCCCCCTCCCCCCTCCCCCCCAATTCTTTTTTCTCTCTTGACCACCTTTTAGCCCTCATGTCTCCAAATATGAGTGGGTTTTCTACAAAAATGATGCTATTCTGAGGACAAATGTCTCACACCATCGTCTCTAAAACAGTTGGCAGGCTTTGACTGAGATCAAAGCATAGTAAGACGAGTCGAAGGTGACTCAATCTCTATTATTTACACAAAGGGATTAACTTCATCATGATCGAGTTATTAACTGAACTGTGTCATTCAGCTACGTACCTCATCAAGATAGAAGTTAACAGAGCCTCCCATATCTGGTTCATTTTTCGAAGCAACTGCCAAAAGAGAATAATTGTTGTGCCATGCTATATCAGTCTGTATTGCCACTGAAGGGGCCTGAATTTTATGATCAAAGTATACTGCCATGCTTGAGGACGCTTATACCAAGTGAACACGACTCAGCTGAAATAAAATCCCATCAAGTGGTATTCTTCTCCTTATAAAATCAGATGTCAAATGTTGAATCCGTGACTGTGTGTGTAGCTAGCACAAATGGTATGACATCTACAGAGAAATCTAAAAATTCCAGGTCGATCAATTCCAGTTGGGAAATTGACGATTGGTTAATCCTAATATCGAATTTCTGTCGCGGCAAATGCAATAAAATGCTGCTTCGAAGCCAACAATGGTGTGCTTTGTTTCTTCTTGTACAATCCAAGGGTGTCCCGTTAAATTCCAGGTGAAGAACCAACGGAAAATTAAGGCAAACCAATATGGACCACTCACGTCAATAGCAACCACACTGTTGCCACGTAAATTTATCCTTCGTTTGTCAGAAGAAACCTTCCGAGAATTACAAATGTTTTTAGACTGTTACAAAAAATTATCCCAAGGCAATGATCGTGTACAATAAAAACGTCCAACTTATTCCAAATTCACAAGTTTCAAGCCATTTTTAAACACTACTCTCTGATCACACAAGCAATAAACCTTCATAAAAGCCCGGATATGCTATTTTTGTTTGTGCCGCCGCTGACTAGTGCCTAGCAACGACCACCTGCGCAAAATGCAAAATGGCGGGAGGAGGGCTTCATAGTTCTGTATTTCTTGTAATGGTCTCTGGGCAGATAGAATCCGCAAGGGTAAGAAAAAAACTAATTGAAAGATTGATTTTATTTCCTTCAATATAAAACTTGGTCCTTTTTATTTTTGTGGCTTCCAGTTTCCTGAATTTGACGATTTGTACTGCAAGTACAGTTTTGTTTATGGCCAAGACTGGGTAGTGACGTCGGTAAGTAATCTATATGTTTTGGTGTTAAAACTTTGTATTGTTTTTTCTCTGAAGTATTTCCTTCATTATTTTTGTGATCATCCGTTCCTTACAGCTTTCCTTTGGTTTCTAGATTTCTATATTTTTGCTTCTTTTCGGAGTTAGTCGAAAAGCATGCTGAGTTGCTAATCGACTTCTAATATGCTAAGATCATGACAATTTTCACTGAGTAATGTCACTGCCATGATGCACGCGAGATTTTGTGATTGCGTGAAATTCAGTCAAATCTGAAATTTTTGCTCGATTAATTGTCCTTTTTATGGATTTTTGCAGGGTTGGGAAGAAGGAATTTCCCAAACTACTAAAAAGAGTTTGGATAGACGACAAGTCTTTGTTTTTAATTTTCCTCTGGACATCACCTTCAAAAGTACAAGTCCTTACGGATGTGAGTTGATGCAGTTTTTTATTCTTTTGATTGCAAAGAGTAGGGTGATTAAATTTATGTGATTAAAGAACTAAAGCTTGGATTAAGCCCCAAATGATATTTAAACAGATGAAAAAAAAATATGGAAAACAGGGGTCGATCTGCAGAGTATGGCAGAACTTGACAAGATTTGGTGCATGTAAAGACAATTCTGCCTTGTGAAATCTATAATAAGGAGAGAGAAAATTTTGTGTGCAACTGTCATACTCTGTAGACAGACTTAGACAAGGACAAGAGTAACCAAGTGCATGTTGTTTTTAAAAATCACAAACCAATCTATATTTTGAAAATAAACTGAATTTAACTCAAAGAACCCCATCATTTTAGGGCCTCAATTAGTGATCAGTTGCTATGGCTTGGATGCCTTTGGCCATGACGTAGTGCGAGGATATGGAGCTGTTCATGTTCCCATCTCTCCTGGGAGGTAAGAGAATGTTTGTGTTTGTGATATGATCACAAAGTGCTTAATCTGAAAAGTAATGTCAGTTGCCAGGATTTCATAGTAAAATTTTCTGACCTCCCTATTCTTAAATCAGGCCTTTTTCTTGGGAAATGATCACAAAGCCTTTTTCTTGGGATATGATCACAAAGTGCTTAATCTGAAAAGTAATGCTAATTGGCAGGATTTCATAGTAAAATTTTCTGACCTCCCTATTCTTAAATCAGGCCTTTTTCTTGGAATGACTCCCTACAATTTGTTTATTTGCTTCGTTTGGTTTTGTTTATTTTGTCATTGTTTTTCTTATAAATTTGTTTGTATTTTTGTATTGTCAATTGTGTCCTGTGAGCCAGTCACTGTAGTACTTTCTTAATGATTTTTCCTATATTTTCAGCCATACAAGAGAGTTGCCAATGTTTGTTCCAGAGTCCTCATCAAAATTTCAAAAATTTACAAGGTGAGCACATTTTTGCTTCTCCTTAAGAAGTTATGGTTATCAATCTTTTTCATTTTACTTTACTTGTGGGACTAGTTTAATTTTTGTTTAAGTGTACCATAGTTTTTTCATGAAAGGCTAGCATCTCTACAGAGAGAATAATCATAGCAAAGTACCAGAGCCATTTCAGGCTTTATAGTTGGTCGTTCCTGCTTGTGAAATTTTTGGAGAAAAAGGAAGATAATTATGCAAAAAGCCAGACCGCAAATAATGTCTCTTTTTTCGACAAAGTTGGTTGTACGAGTTTGAAAAAACTTTGTTAAAAAAATTAATGTACATGTGCCACAGAGTTTCTTTTTTTGACTCATGCAATCTCATGCAATGGACTTTTCCCAAATCAGGAGAGACTGTTCATGTTCTAGCAAAAAGCCTCTGTGCTTGTGAAAGGAAAAATAGAAAGAAAAGAAACAACACTCTTCTCCAAAGCAGTATTATTTTATTTTGTTAATTGGATGCTTATTTGTTATCACAGTTGGTTCCTTGGCAGAAGGCCAGAGTTTGTAGATCCTAAAGTTGTGGCACAAGGTGAAGGAAGAGAAGTGACACGAGTAAGATCACAGGGGAGTGTGAAAGTAACATTTAGTGTTGTGACTCGTGACATGAAGAAGTTAGGCTATGACACAGAAGCTGCTACTGTTGCTATTCCACATCTAGCTCCTGGAAACACAGGAATCACTACAATACGACCAGAATCTCAAGCTCATGGAACAGAGAGTCATTCATAGTGAATGGTGATACCTTTGAAGTGTTGCAAATGCCCAGCATATGCTAAAGGCTGGTTTTCTTGAACCCAACATAGCATTCAAAAGAGAGGAGATGGAAAGACAAAATAACAGTTGATTACATATGTGGAAGTTGACTAATTCAAGAAAAGAAAGCTTGCTCCTTCCCATTCACGAGGGACCTTAAGCGGTCAGGAGAGCAATGCTAAGGAAATCATTGACTAGAAAATGAAGTTATATTTTCTTTTAGAATTTTGTGAAGGGCTGAATGTGTGAACTGAATCTAACCGTGTCCTAAGTTTCAGTTCTTTCATAGCATATACGAGTAGCATTGAGCTCTTAGAAGAAATTGCAATAAGTTGCTATCAGGGATTCCATTCTCAGACCTTGTAATTCTTGGGAATTTCCCAATGTTGTGTTGCAGAAGTTGGCTTGGAAATGTGCAAAGTTGTAAAAGGCACCTGCTCTGCTGTTGTTCTGCTCATTAAATCTCCTGTTTTGCCAAGTTCTTGTTGCAATCACTGTCGTGGTTTGCTAAAGGTCCCTATTCTTTGGGTGTCACGTAAAGCTAACACATTGAAAAAGATGCAGAGGAGACCACTTGTCTGTCAGTTAAACAAACATTCTGAAGAGATTGACAAAGGGTTTATACGTGACACGCGACGAAGACCAAAATTTGCATTTGACGCGTGAATTGTACAGAGAGATGTACGCTATTCGTAAATTTATGAACCAACGCGAAACGTGATATGTGTGATCCGCACATTTTTCTTTCAGTTCGTGAAAATCTCAAGATTTCCCCTAAACATTATAAACAGGAGGGGAGATTTGAAGTTTCACCTTCTATATACGTGACGCGTGTATTTTCCTTAACCCCTAAGATTGACCAGCGTCTAATTTCTTAAAATATCACCCCTGAATCAAACATTAAGGTCACGAGAATCAAGGAAATGATTACCAACTTATAAGCTCATGATTTTAAAACAAATTCTCCTTGTCAGCGCTTCATGAAATGTATAGAGAACAGTATGGAGAATATGCATATTGACGATAGGGTATAAATGGTTAATTTTCCTTGAAACGGGAAGCGGGTCAGGACTCCACTCCACCCACCCACCCCTCCCCCTTTCACCCCCTCTTGTTACCCTCTCTGAGGGTGCTATATGCTACTTCATTATTAGAATATTCTGAGATGAAAGAATCAACATGTTACTTCTCCCCATAATATCCAGACATTTATCGGTAAACAGGTACCAAGAATACTCAAACTTTCCAGGTCGAAGTTGTTATCTTGATCTAGCACCAAACTCTTACAACTAATTTACAAGGAAATGTTTAGCAGCTAGAGGGGAGAATCAACAATCAGATCTTGGGAGTTCAAGGGTTTAGTAGTTGTTTTCCATGGTATACACGTACCAAAGAGACAAGAATAAAACCAAAGTGAACAAGGAAAGTGAACTGATAAAAGAGATCGAAATTGATGGGAAATGAGATACTTGAAAATTCACTTTCTACTGCATAATAAAGATGACGAAAGAATCTTTATTATGCAGTAACTAATACTTTGCTCACTGATACTTCAATAACTATCGGTGTCTCCGTTACGCTGTCAGCCTTTGCTAATTTTAATTACAACGAATAGTGAGCTTTTGTTCCACCACGTTCCCTTGTGTCTGATGTCAGACTCTTCTCCTCGGTTATGGACCGTTCCAAATGATTTCGGACGCTTCCGTCCGTTTCCGACATTCATTCGTATAATCTCGTTCCGCTGTTCGACACTTCTGTTTGGTTTCAGACCCCTTCCGTCCGATTTCGGCCACTTCCGTCTGTTTTCCGATATTCTGTCGTATCATCTCGGTCCGATGTCGAACATTTCTGTCCGGTCTCAGACCCTTCCGTCCAATTTTAGAAACTTCCATAGAATTCAGCAAAATGAATGTTAACAATCGCAAAGCTCGTCTTCATGGTTTTTTTTTTATTACTATTTGTTTGTACAAACCCGGAAAGTTGCTAGGATGGACACAACAAATTAACGTCACGGTATCCGACACTCTTATTAATCCTCACCTGTTTTGTCTGGTCAGGTTAATCTTCTTTTTTTGGGCATCATCCGCGTCTGGCTGATTTTGTAACGCGCGGCCATCCGGTCTCGTGTTCTCTCAAGCTTGAAACATTTTTCTGTTCGTAAATATGACTTTTCATGTTTTGTCTTCTCTCAGACAACTAAATTCGTTATGACTTTCTGTGAACCATTCTACGGAAGTTTGATTAGTGCTATAGGAAAGTACTTATCCACGATGGTCGAAAAGAACCTCATTAGAGTATGAGGAAATGAAAGCCGGTGCCAAACATTTATCACAAACCACGTTAATGCTAGTTATTTTAAATTATTTTTCCTTATAGGAAATTCGCCAATAACATTATATTGTACCCTAGCTCTACAGAGTAGTATACCACGCACAAATAATTCTAAAAACTCTTTTGATCCTGAAAAAGGTCGATTCCGAGCAGCTTGTTTTACACCTGGAGTTCCGCTGTTATAATTCTTATGGCGTCTAGTTAGGAGAGCCATAAACAAGATAAAGGGTGTGATTGTGTTTATTTATCCCATTTCTTGCCAAGAACTAAAAGACAGTACCCCTAGAGATTTAACTGTTGAATATTTATCTACTTCAGTTCCGTCAAAAGTTCGGTTTGGTCGGTATAATTTTCACAGACCATTTTAATCCTAAGCTCTTTTATTTAAAGCCTGCACTCTTTTATTGCGCATCTGAACGTCTATTTCTATTTTATTGACGTTTTTCCGAGTTAGCTTTTTTTGGCTTTGAATAAGAGGTTCTTTATTATTGACGTACACCTTAGGGTGTAGTCAAGAGAAAAGTAATTAGTTATAGAAATTAACATGCATATCCCATCCTGGGGGAATCACCACTGCGTCTGACATCACGATAGAGCCGAACGAGTTCCGGGTTGTGATGTTGTAAGCTTTCTCAGAAGAAAAAAAATTAATCGAAATCCTGAGCAACCAATATGATGTTAGACTCGCTGGATATGCGTTGTTTCTCCATACAGTTTATTTTCTTCAAAAACAGTATTTCACTGAACAATATTCACCGGAAGCTCTCAAAGGAAGGGCTTGAACGACGCGATTTAGCCGGCTGAATTGTTATGATTTGGTTTTCAGTTTTTCATTTTCTTTTTCGTAATTTCATTGGAGCAGGCTTTATGGTGTAGAATGACGCAACCGTTGAGCAGTAAGAAAAACAAGCGTTGACGATCGATTTACGTGTGCGCGTAGGTTACGGGTGAATTTTTAGACAGAATCGGAGCATTTGGCACAATGTTGCACCGCTGTCTCCATCTTCACCAAAAGTTAATTTTGAGGCAGAGATATTCGACCTGCTGTTATTTTTAAGTTTAATTATTGCTTCAAATTTAGATTATATTGTCTTATTAAACTTCGAGAATGATCGGAAGCTACACGGACATGACCGAAACAAAACTAAGATTGGAAAATACAAGAATAACTGGATATTGCCGACACGCTTGTTTTTTCAACTTGGCAAAATAAACAGACCTTAAATATAGACCAGAATTGTGCGTAGTTTTGTGCTTTAATCCATTCACCATAGGATTATCTTGGCGAAACTTTATTTTTTCAATCCCTCTAAGCCCAGACACGGTAAAGGCAAAAAAAAAAGTGTTGGCTGGCGTGACAGAGTGACAGAGTGGTCCCACCGGAAGTGTAAAATATTGTTATAAAGCCATATTGAAAACCAACACCTCATGCTATTCCTGACAAGTATCGAAACAACTTGAGGTTCGCTTCAGTTTTTAGAAGAACGATATTCCACCCAAACAAGAGTTCTATTCAACACCGATAACGGATCACAGAAGAAGAAGAGGAATATTACGTGACGTTTGTTTTTTCTCCTCTCTTTGTTATCTTAACGCTTTTGGAGCAATTTGAGAAACACGATTACGGTGGGCTGACCTGGATTGACGGATGGTGTGATGATTAATCATTGACTCTTTCACACGATTATGTTACTGATTGTACTTTAGTTGCTCTCGTGGTAGAGTAAACTTCAGTGAAACTCAAAATCAGCTCAACTTGAAGGTCTGAAGGATAAATTTCATCAACATGCATGTTCAAAAAGGTAGGTTGACTAGTTCTTAACTCTGATAATGAGGCAGATCGTTCGATGGGTCATCGTACCGTGATTCAATGGTTCAAATCGAAATGTGATAAATCGGAATTATTTGATTGAAAATTATTATAATCCTTTTTTCGAGTAACACCGATGATAAAGCTTGCACCTCACTCGCGGTTTAGATTGAAATAAATAAAGTAAACTAGGTTCGAGTCAGATGGTAAAACCCACGGAAGTCACATGAAACTCAACAGATCAGAATTCATTGTGTTTCAAGGAACTTGATTCTAGAGGTGTGTCCGCCTGGCGGAGTAAATCCAATCCTTTAACCTTATATGACTAAGTTTATTCCTATTTTATCTTTTCTGGGGGGGGTCAGGACTTTTTGAGAGCAAGTAAAATGAATAAATCAGAGATCGCAGCTCTATTGTTCACAGTATTGTTATTCAAATGAAAGAGGAGAGTAAACTAAATTGTCTCGACGATTCATAAAGAGTGGAAGGAAATGATGAAATTTCCTGCAAGAACGCTGACTAACAACGCTTTACAGATAGGAAATGGTAAAGAGAGATTCTAATTTTCTCATTACAAAACTAAACTTATTTCATCACATGATTATTGGGAAACCAAAAGTAATGCTTGTAAATTTCGAAGCTCGTACGTCGCGGCCATAAGTAACGCAATCAAGAATTTTGACCAATCACAGCGTGGAAAATTAGAAGTGCAGACAGATTATTGTTGATGCTCCAAATTTGTCTCTGACGTCATTTGTACATCCGGGTTCTGTTGATACGTAATGTCATGCCGTGCCCCTGCCTTCCAAGGGTTCTCCAAAAGAGTTTTTATGAGGAAACGGAATACACAAGTGGAAGTTGGGGACACTTAGGGTTTTGCTCTTTAAAACTCCTGCTTTAGCATGTCGTGGAATATTCAAAGACCCGACGGTGTCCCCGAAATGGCGCCTTTGGAAGGCCAACCATCTATGAGCCATTCACAACTTCTGAGTAACAGAGATGGTAGGACAGATTCGATATCAGTGGGCCTTTAGTTAATTTGCTTTCTCCGACCTTTTCCTCCCTCTGTAAATGAAATTGCGGATTTTGGGTATTTTTTGGAAGTTTTTATTTTATATTGATCGTTTGGGGCTCTAAATGGTAAATTTTTCATTGCAGCTTTGGAGCGAAAGCTCTCTCAAAGAGAACCCCGTCAGGAACTTGTGAGCAGAGGGATTATGCCTGGTTCGTAATTTTATTGCTTGTCATTCGACTTTATCTCTCTAGCTATCGTTGAGGCTAACTCTCTGATTTATCCTTCTAGCCGTTAGTGCAGCACCAGCAATTCTTTCTCAGAG